GACGTGCAAATAGTCCTTTTAAGTAGGCTGAGAATGTATGCGGTTTTGAGCAACCCGCCTCGGCCTCCCAGTAAGACTGGGTTTCTATACTCCTGTGGCATGCTCTTGCAGGAATTATCATGGAACGTTCAAAATGCCAGTGGAAGTGTTGCTTTGTGTTGCTTTTGTAAGTAAACTGTAAAGGCCTGAATAGTTTGGACCGTATTGTGCTTATTTTGGCCTCCCCAGTGCCCTGAGAGTCAGTATTGAAAAAATGTTTGTTAAATTTTGCTGAAAAATCTTAGACTATAACAGTAAACATTTGGTATAATTAATATATTGTGCTGCAGGCATAGGAATGGGATACTGAATAGAAACTGAGTGGGAAGCTGAAAAATGACCTAATGTAATATTTTAATGTTAAAAATGATATTCTCGAATATCATTTCACTGGGTGAAAGGAGAGGTTACTTAATCAATGACATTTGAACTCTTTTTCTTTTTAAAGTTTCCTACTAAATGCTATGTAGCAAAATAAAATAAATTCTAGGTGGATTGAAAACGTAAGGGTAGGAACGAGCCCTCTAGAAGGATGAAGCTAGCACGCAGTGAAATGTTTGTGCCCTCTTGGAAGGGCTGGGCCTTTCCAAGTGTCGTCCCCAAAGTGGAATCATGAGGAAAGGACACAAGAGTGGCTCAGCCTCCCAGACCAAGGAAAACAGATTGGCCACCGCCTTTCTCTTTCTGTCACTGCTCTAACAAATCATCACAAACTTACTGGCTTACAACAAACATGGTATCTTAGACTTCGAGAGTTTGCAAGTCTGACGTGGGTCTCACTGGGCTAACACCAAGGTGATGGTGGGGCTGGTTCCTTCTGGAAGCTCCAGGAGAGAGCGTTTTCCCTACTCTCTCCAGCGCCAGGAAGCAGCCCACTTTCCTTGGCGTATGGCCCCTTTCTCCAAACGCTATATTGCATTTGTGTGACCTTTTGTGGTCATGTCTCCCTCTGGCCACAGCCGGGAAGCTTTTCTGCGTTTGAGTACCCATGATTAGATTGTGCCCAGCAGGATAGCCCAGGATGGTCTCCCACCTCCGGGTTTGTGTTCTTAATTGCATCTGCAAAGTCCCGTTTGCCACGTCAGGTGACACAGTCACAGGTTCTAGGCGTTAGGATGTAGACATCTTGGCTGGGGGCCGTTATTCTGCTGACCACACCACCGGAATGACTAACAGGGAATGGTCTGTTTACAAGGTTTCTTTTGCAAAGCAGTAAGAAAGTGGTGAGCACCTCATTAGAAAATGGACAAAGGGTATGAACAATTTACAAAAAGAAGAGGTACAAATGAACAAAATTAGAAAAAAATGTTTTACCTCACTAATGAATGAAAAGGCACATAGCTGACACGGAGACCACTGTTCTCCTGTTGAATGAGCAGTGATGTGTGGTGTCGGACTCTGCTGGTGGGATATGAGCCACGGCTCTTTGGCAGTGTGGACCAGCAGCATTTTTAATGCGTGCTTTATGTCCCAAGCTTTCCATTTCTAGGAGCCTATCTTCAAGAGGTTATCATAGTTGTGTGCAAATATTTGTCTCCAAATATCTTTATTACTTTTTTGTAATCCCCATTTTATTTTATTTTTTAGAGACAGGGTCTCACTCTGTAACCCAGATTGGAGTGCAGTGGTACATTCTTGGCTCACTGCAACCTCCACCTCCCAGGCTCAAGCGATCATTCCCACCGTATTTTTTGTAATCACTTATTTTATTTTTTTGAGACGGGGTCTCAGTCTGTAACCCTGGTTAGAGTTCAGTGGTGCAGTCTTGGCTCACTGCAACCTCAGCCTCCCAAGTAGCTGGGACCACGGGCTTGTGTCACCACGCCCAGCCAATATTTTTATATTTTTTGTACAGACACGGTTTCGCCTTGTTGCCCAGGCTAGTCCTGATCTCCTGAGCTCAAGCGATCCACCCACCTCGGCCTCCCAACATTGCCAGTATTGCCATCAACAAACAGAGATTCGTTTGTTTCATGTGTCTGGTAGTCTGTGGTGAGCAGTGCAGGGTTGGGCAGCAGCTCAAAGCTGTCATAGTCCCATGCTCTTTCCTGCCTGTCTGCCCTGCTGCCCTTCATGGTGGCATCTTCCGTCACTCACACATGATGGCTGAGGTCCCAGGCCTCACCTCTGTGTTCCAGGCGGAAAAAAACGGAGAGAAGCTAGGGACCAAAGGGGTCCTAGGTAAGCCTGTTTTTTTTTTTTTTTTTTCCCCAGAAAAGTAAAAACCCCCATTTATTTCTTGCTGGCTGTGAGAAATAAATGTGTGTCACAGGGCCAGCCGTGGCTGAAGTCAGCCAAAGGAGCAAAGGCTTCTGGGTAGAGGTTGATCAGTCAACCAACAGTGTCCGCCATGTGGAGTATTTCATTTCCATCGGTTTTCCAAATTTGCTCTGATGAATATAAGACTTTTATAATAAAGACTTTTATAATAAAACAATTAAATCTTTTTTTTTTTTTTGAGTCGGAGTCTTGCTGTGTCACCCAGGCTGGAGTGCAGTGGTTCAGTCTCGGCTCACTGCAACCTCTGCCTCCTGGATTCAAGCCATTCTCCTGTCTCAGCCTCCCCAGTAGCTAGGATTACAGGTGTGCACCACCATGCCCAGCTAATTTTTGTATTTTTAGTAGAGACGGGGTTTCATCATGTTTGCCAGGCTGGTCTCGAACTCCTGACCTTGTGATCCACCCACCTTGGCCTCCCAAAGTGCTGGGATTACAGGCATGAGCCACTGTGTCTAGCCCATTAAATCTTTAAAAAAATTATATTTATCTTTTGCAATTCTGTATTCAGTTTCAGACAAAATGATGGCAGTTGAGAATTCCCAGATGGGCGTTTCTTGGAGTTTTTAGTCTGTGGGCAGAGTCTGCAGTTTCTTCATTGCACTCCCAGACACCCTCATCACCGTGTGGATGCCCGAGGGTCTGTGGTGGTGCTTGTTGGGCTGAGGCCTATTCTCAGGGAGGGGCTGAATGCCCTGCTTGTGTGGGGTGTGGGGTGTGGGCTTGTATGGTGCCTTTCATCCCTTCTGAACTGGGTCCTCAGGACCCCGGGTGGCTGCAGGGAGGCCTGCAGCAGCCAATGAGAAGCTGCTTCCTTCAGTCCTGTGGGTTCCTGGGAGCCCACCTTTTGGCTGAGCTGGTGGTAGGCTCTTGGGAAGGTAGGAGAGAGGCTCACTGGTTTTCCATTTCTTTTCCATCAGCATCCAGCATGTGTATGGCGCCCAGCACCCCCCCTTTGATCCACTGTTACATGGCACGTAAGTGACGTTCCAATCTCACTTGGCGTCTTGGCTCTGATGTGGGAGGGCTGTGGCAACCCTGGTCTTCCTGCTTCCCTTCTGCTCCCAGGCATTCCTGAGGGAGTAGAGTGGTTTCTCATTCAGCCACACTGATCAAGCAGTCGCTTTGTGTGAGATGCTGCACACCCCATGCTTCCCATCCCAGTGAGGATGGTGGCTGTGGGAGCCACAGCCTGATGCGGGGAGGCGGGGGAGCCCTGGGGAGAGCCAGGAGCCGGCATCCTTTAGCCACGGGTAGCCTGGCTGCAGGCCATTCATGCTGGCTTGTCCTTTCCGCTCCTCCTTCCCACATTCTCCACCGGCTGCTGGAGCCCGGCCCTGGCCTGTCCTGGCCCCTCCACAGCAGGCGGGAGCACAGGGTGTGGGACTTGTGCTTGACTGGTGTGGCCCTGCAGGACTGCACCTGTCTGACGAGTTTCTGACATGAGGTAGGGCCGGTGTTGTGTGTTGTCATATTTTGGGGGAATGTTGTTTAAATGATTGTGTCTTCAAATCCGTATACCACAGGCCCATACCCTGCACAGGCGCTCCTGGCCCACACCCCCACTGCTGGGCAGGAGCCTTACTGGGACTCGGGGAAGGTGCCACTGGCCAGAGTGAGCTGGGCTGGGTCTGCAGGGCAGCACCATGTGGCCCTGTGCCTCCTCCCAGGTGGCCTTGCTGGAGTCCCCTCCCCTCCTGCCACTGAGTCCTCATGGGCTTCACCTGCTGTGCTCCTTTGGCTGCCTCTGTGAATTGTGTTTGCTTTTTCACTCACTGTTGCTAGATCGAAGCTGAAAACTTCTATGCCTGTCTTTTCACCTGGGAATTCTTTCCTGGCTGGTTTTGGGTGAAACCTTCGAGCATGTACGAGTAAAGACCGCCTTTGCATTGCAGTTTGCTGAAGTCCACGGCCAAGATGCCGACCACACCGGTGAAGGCCAAGAGGGTCAGCACCTTTCAGGAGTTCGAGAGCAATACCAGCGATGCCTGGGACGCTGGGGAGGACGACGACGAGCTCCTGGCCATGGCGGCGGAGAGCCTGAACTCCGAGGTGGTCATGGAGACGGCCAACCGGGTGCTGCGTAACCACAGCCAGCGGCAGGGGCGGCCCACGCTTCAGGAGGGGCCGGAGCTTCAGCAGAAACCCAGGCCTGAGGCAGAGCCGCCCTCACCTCCCAGCGGTGACCTCCGGCTGGTGAAGTCTGTCAGTGAGAGCCACACGTCCTGTCCTGCAGGTATGATGGGAGGACTGAAGAGATGATCTGGGTTTCTGGCCAGGCTAAGAAAGTGGCCAGAACCCACTCACTGTGGGAGAATCAGTGGGTTCCCATCCTCATTTGCAGCAGGCCCCCTGGCCCATGAGAGCCCTTACGGTTCTCTTCCAAGGGTAGGGGAGCAGCCTGCGCTCTATCCTAGGGCCCCCACGTGCTTTCTTCTCTCCTAGCTAAGTGCGTCTCTCCTTCGAGTGGAGTGGAGGCACCAGGCTGTTGTGGGCCAGCCGTGAGAGGGCCACGGGGGAGCAAGCACCTGGGGACACTGTCTCCCTCCTAACCCCACCAGCTTGCAATGGTTCCATGGGTGACATTGCCAGCCTGCATGTTTAGGGGCTGGCCCTCTAGGCAGCTTACAGGATTCCTGCCCGGGGTGCATACACGTGGGCTCAGGTCCGAAGCGGCTGGGAGTCTGACTTTTGGGTCGGCCACATTCGCATTCTGACCCCCTCGGGTGGGGTCGTGTCTGGGGCCGTGTGCATGGCACTGGTGCGCAGCAGCTGTTCCTGAGGCTGTTTCTGTGGCTGCCGCTCTTTAGGTGTTACAAGCCATCACGTCTGTGATAGAAAAGCCACACGGTCATGTGATGAACCCACCGTGGGCCGCGGGCACTGTTTTCAGAGCTTGGGATACCCCACTGGACAGACTGAGGTCCATCTGTGCCCTGTGGAAAGTCCGTTCTGGTGAGAGGGATGGATGCAGCACTGCCCACAGCCAGCAAGGGGGCACAGAGTGTGCTGGGAGGCAGCAGGTGCCATGGTCAAGAGAGGCAGAGAATGGGGTGGGAACGCGGTGGCTGTGAGAGCAGTGGCGAGTGAGTGTCATCTTAAACGAGGAGGTCAGGGTGTCCTTGCGTGAGCAGTGCTGTTGGGAGGCAGGGCTGAGGGGCAGGGGCGAGGGCTAGCTGGGGCAGCCACAGGCCCTCATACGTACCTCCCTCCAAGGGCTTCTGGGGGCTAGGGTGCTCTCCCCACATTTCCAGCTGGGAAGATGGAGATTGTTAGAAGAGTCTGAGGTAACCCTGCAGAACTAGGTTTCATACCTAGGTCTAGTTTTTAAAACCACTTTCCAGGAATTGGTTAACTTCTAAAATGTTACAGCTCTCATTAGTTGAGAACGCTGTGCGTGATTTCATTTGATCAGTTTTCTTTTTGGAATCTAATAAATTTTAAAGTATTTGAACTTGTAAGTGGAAATCTGGTGATGGCCTTTGCGGGAGGCTTGGAAACCTGGTGACTGACTGAAGCATGCACTGACCGCCTCCTGCAGGCCCATCCTGGGCAGCGCCCTTCAGCCTGGGCAGAGTCGGAGTTGGCAGGATCCCTGACTTCATCTGCTCATGGAGGGTGGTGCTGACATTGAAGCTCTGTGAGCCTCTCAGCACACCGCCCCCTACCCCCAAGATGCAGGGTGCTGTCAGGCTGAGAGTGGCCAGGGCCGCAGGACCACACTGTGTGTGGCTGGGGGATCTGACAAGAGGCAGGCTCAGGCTGCGACCAACCGGGGTCGGGGAGCTGTGGGATGTCACCCTGGGATGGCCTCATCCTGGAAGAGCCAAACAAAGGATGCTCCAGACAGCTTGCACTGGGAGAAGGGAGCCTGTGACCTCATTGCCTTGTGCCCCCACCGCCTGCCTTGGAGTTGGCCACTTTTCCGGTGTTTGCTTTCTGGGCAAGACTTTTTTGAGCACTTCAGTATAGTAACGGTGATACCGTATATTGATCGTTTACTGTGCGGCAGGTACCGTATCACGTCTCTGTGATACTAAACTCATTAAACTTTGCAGCAACACTAGGGCATGCACTTGTGGGCCCTGCTCAGGACTGAGTGGCCCCTTCCGTGTCCTGATGAAGCCACATCAGTCATTCCTAAGGATCGCAGGGAAGTCCAGCTGAGCACCTTGAATTCTGGGACTCGGTGCACAGCTGCTCTTCCTGCTGAATGTTGATTCTGAGGAACTGTCAGTGCTGCTGAAGCAACAGCTTCTGAAGGAGGGACAGGGGCACTATTACCCATGGTCCTCCGCTCTGCCCAGGTGCTGGTTCTCAGCCCGCCCTGCAGTAAGGCCGGCAGCGGGAACTCTGGAGCCAGATGCCCCGGCCTGGGGCCCCAGCCCACTGCTCGGCGTGCGGCTGCTACAAAATAGGAATCACAGCAAGGGCGCTGAGGCTGCTGGGAGGAGATTCTCCCGGGGGTTGGGGGGTGTCAGGGAGAGTGGGCAGCGGGGATCGGGGGAGGAGACAGGGCGGTACTCTGAAGTCTATGCTCCCACTTTAGCAGACTTCACTGGAAATTTAACTGGACCACATTCTGCCCAGAGGCCATAGGTTGCTTGGCTCCTGGATAACCTGAGGGTTTCTGTGTGAATTCTTTTCCCCCACCCCCAGGTTATGAGGAAATGGGGGCGCTGTGTGGGAAGGAGGGCGTGGGGGAGTGCGGCTCCTACCTCCTTGCTCCTGGCTGCTGGAGTGGATGTCAGCCGGTCAATTGCAGCATGTGCTCCGGCTCCGTTCCCTGGAGTTTAGTTTTCACTCTAGTTTAATTTTCAGCTTTTGAAAGATGAGATAGCTAGACAGGATTTAGACCTAGGAGTCTGGAGCCTTCCCCAGCCTCTTGCTTGTTGGTCTTGGGTGGCCGTGTTGAGTGACCTGAGGGTCTTAGGGTCTTCCCTTGGACTGACCCAGTCCCGGGTTGCTAGGTGGGACATGCTGTCTCACCTCCTGCTTAGGCCCCTGTAGGCCTGTCTATCTTGGGGGTCAGCGAGGCCTTGGTGGGCAGCAGCAGAGGGCGGGAGGGAGGGCGGGCAGCTTGTACTCTCGTGCCACCTCGGTCACTGCCTGTGGTGGGGTCTGGGAAGGTGCCATTCCTTACTTGTCTGGCTTCCTTTGTTTCCTTGGGATGAGGGTCCCTGTGGGACCTTCCTCCCAGGGCACTGGGGAGACCCAGGGAGGGCCAGGCAGGTGGTGGGTTGGGCATGCCCTTGAGACAACAGGTGAGTGCCCTCGCAGTGCCCTGGTTCCTGCTGTGTCCCCACCATGGCCTCCTGTCCTCAGCGCCTCTGCTGGCTTTCTCCTTTCCCTCACGGTAACTCGTGGACTTGCCCTCTACGCTCAGGCCTGGCTGACCGCAGAATACCCTCCTGCACAGACCCTCTGGGTCGTGTCACCTGGGAAGGCCCTGATCCTCCACCCCAGACACTGGTGGGAGCCTGACCGCCAACACAGCCCGAGGGGTCCTGGAGTTTTCTGGCTGTCGTTGTGTTGCTTTTATGCGAGGTGCTCGATTTCATTGATGACTGATACTCTGCCAGTGAGGCCAGTGAATTTCGAAGGTGTCAGTTCTATGTTACCGCTCAAGAAGCTGAGGTCCCCAAGTGCTCAGTGATGGGAAGAAGGGACCACTGTGACCCGACAGCGTTCACAAAGAGACGGTGGCACAGCCAGGAGGAACATGCGGTCGAGAGGAACGCCCTCACCCTCACCCCCGTTCTCTCACCCCTGCAGAAAGTGCCAGCGATGCCGCCCCTCTGCAGAGGTCCCAGTCTCTCCCACACGCGGCCACCGTCACGCTGGGTGGCACATCTGACCCCAGCACCCTCGGCAGCTCAGCGCTGAGCGAAAGAGAGGCCTCCCGGCTCGACAAGTTCAAGCAGCTGCTTGCCGGCCCCAACACAGACCTTGGTAAGCACCCTGCCCTCTGGAGGACACACACACACATCTCTTGCTGTTTCTGAACTAGATCACATCTTAAAGGATTCCGTGTGGGCTTAGGTGATGCACACGCTTCCGTGTGTAATTTGCCTTGCAGGAAAGTGAGGAGTTCACGTAATATTTTCAAGTCAGTAAGTCACTAAGGTAGTAGCAATTTGTGCTGATAGTTGCCTCTAGACATGTTTTGTTAGTGTTTTTCCAGTGCAATTTGAAAATGTATTTTGCGTTCCTTTTGGTTTTCTTTTTTTTAAAATTTGAGACAAGGTCTTACTCTGTCTCCCAGGCTGGAGTGCAGTGGTGCAATCATAGCGCACTGCAACCTGGAATTCCTGGGTTCAAGCAATCCTCCTGCCTCAGCCTCCTGAGTATCTGGGACTACAGGATTGTGCCAGCACGCTCACCAAATTCTTTAAACAATTTTTTCTAGGGATAGGGGTCTCCCTGTGTTGCCCAGGCTGGTCTTGAACTCCTAGGCTTAAGAGATTCTCCTGCCTCAGCCTCACAAAGCACTGGGCTTTCAGGCGTGAGCCGCCGCGCCTGGCCCATTCTGTTTTCTTGTTGTCCCAATTGCAGTCTTCATTATTGCCGCCCTTGGTGAGCCCTTCGAGGCTGGCCAGGTGGACATCCTTGTTGGTCATAGTATTCTGAAGACAGTGGCTCATGGGGGCGCAGCGCTGGTGACCATCAACTCGATCTGCTGGTTTTGCACCTTCCTGCCCTGGGGCTGGCAGTCATCAGAGGGTGACAGGCTGTGAGCCCTGCAAGGGGCAAGGGTGAGGCTGGGGCAGAGGGGCAGGCCTGCAGGGCAGAGCACAGTCACCAGCGTGACTCTTCCTGTGCGAGTTGCTTCCAGGCACACGCAGTGTCCCTGTGGACTGCCGTGGCCAGGCTCTGTGGAACGCACTTGCTTTGAGTTCTTCTGGTGGCATTCCTGCCGAATCCACGTCCTTCCTTTCCGTATCTCATCTTTGTGGAGCACCACTCTGGCTAGGCGTTTGCTAAATGCTGGAGCTCTCGGGAGGACTGGAATGTGGCCTTGGTCATGAGATTGCTTCACTGGGGGGACAAACCTGTATCAGACAGTTACGGCCAGTGTCACTGTGGCACTCTGAGAGCCGGAGGTGCAACGCCTGGCTTGGCCAGGAGGTGGCGAGTGGCGCACGCGGATGGGCCGCCGGGAGCCACGCAGGAGCCGTGCAGGGGCCATGCAGGAGCTCGCAGCATCTGGGCCTTCATGCTCAGGCCCAGGGCAGGGAGAGGGTTCCTGGGCAGAAGCAGCGGTTCAGAGGGCACGGCTGGAGCTGTGTTCCCGAGGCTGGGGAGGGCTCTTGGCAGGTCTGTTGGCAAGGAGGACACAGCTCTGCGTAGCGTTCTCAAAGCGGGTGGTTGTTTCTTCCTTATGTTTGTTTTTTTGAAACAGCAACACTTGCATGTGTTATAACATGACACAGCACAGCAGGGTCTGTGTGAAAATGAGGCCTGTCCCAGCCTCCACCTTCCCTTCCTTTCCACAGTTCCAGGTGTCTCCTTCCAGTGATGGCCCATGCATGTGTTGTTTTAAACGTTTTATGTTGATGCAATTCAAACTTGCAGAACAGTTGGCAAGGATAGTGCCAACAACTCCCATATGCTCTGCACCCAGAATCACCAGTTGTTTACATTTGCCTGTTACCGTTCTGCATGTGTGTGCCTGTTTTTGTGTGTGTGTATATATATATGTATATATATATTTCTGAACCATTTGAGAGTCAGTTGGAGATACATCCCTTTACCTCTAAAACCTTCGCTGCCTATTTCCTAAGCACAAAGACATTCCCTCAGTATCATCACAGCACGGGTGTCAAAATCAGGAAACTGAACATTGACACAGTACTATTTTACACTTTTATTATTATAATCCGCAGTCCATAGTCACATTCTGCCAGTCGTCCCCGTAACGTCCTTTCTCTGTTTTTCTCTTAGCTCAGACTCCAATGGGGAACCACGCGTTCCATTTGGGTGTCACACTTCTGTCTTCTCCACCAGCCTGGAGCAGCAGCCTTGCCTGTCTCTGCGTTTCGATCTTGACACTTTAGCAGAGCACAGGCCAGTGTTTTTGTGGGATGTCCCTTGGTTTGTGCTTGTCTAGTGTTTGCCCACGGTGAGATTCTGGTTGATAATTTTTGGCAGGAACATCCCTGAAGGGATTTGTGTTCTTCCTGGTCATCACAGCGGGGCACGTGGTGCTGGTGGGTCCTCGCATTGACGTGGACTCCGATCACTTGGCTGAGGTGGCGTCTGCCAGCTCTTTGCGCCGAAGAGCTCCCCTTTTTCCTTTGGTGATGAAGTGTTCTGTAGAGGGACGCTCTGGGGTCTGTGCATTTCTACGGTGTTTTTCTTTCTCCCCTTGCATGGTAAGGGTTGTGCACCTCACTTTTTAAAGGAATGATATATTTTCCCGTGGTGTATGTGGAGAACCGCCTTAGTCTTTGGAGTGCCCTGTAACATGCCATCCTATGGACGTGCCCCACTTGACTGCACCAGCCCCTGCGGATGGGCAGACAGGTTATTCCTAACTTGCTATTATTACAAACAACTCGAGAACGTTTCTTCAGGCACCTGAACCTCCTTCTGTGATGGTGACGCTCACAGAGCATCCCTAGCCATGGGTGAGGCGAGAAGGCAGTGTGGGGGATGACTCTGTGATTTCGGCTAGAGCACCGGGTAGGTGGAAGTGTCACTCGCCAAGACAGGAGATGAAGGTAGGTCGTGCTTGCAGGAGTAGGGTCTTGTAGTTGATGTATTAGCCACTTCCTCTCCTAGCATGCTAGCGCCCCGTCTCTGCTGGCTCTCGTGCCTCCGGGGTGGTGCAGGGATGCAGAACCACGTTGCACCTAGGAGAGCAGATCCTGGAGCCAGGCTGCCTGTGTGGAGAGCTGGCTCCACTGGTTACTCGCCGCGTGACCTTGAGCCAGCTTGGTGATGATCCTGCATCTCAGAGTTCTTGTTTGCGTGATAGGCATGACGAAAGCAGTGCTCATTTTGCAGTTTGAATGAGATAGTACGTATAACATGCTTAAGAGAGTGCCTAGCACATACTAAACACTCAAAAATGTTAGTTATTTTTATGGTGGTGGTTATGTTCATTTGAACTGGCCTTTTTATCTTTTTATCTTCTCACTTGATTTTTGCGCTGCTGACGTATATGGTCACTTTTGTAGTCATTGACGAGTCAGGTGACTTACAGATGTTGTCCTGGTTGTGTCCTGTGGTTTCCAGCAATAGGCAGGTGGCGGAGAGACAGCTGATGAAAGCAAGATTTGCGTGATGGGAAGTCTGTGCTGGGCCAGGCTCTGAGTACCCACCTGGAACATTCTGGAGGACTTTGTAATTGAAGCAACTTTTGGAAATTAAAATCATACTTAAAAGTAAAGCTTTCAAGACTTGTGGGGAGATGGGAGTATGTAGGGCTAGATTTTACCGTGTAAAAATCAGGTTATTTTGTTAGGTTGAGGGGACTGTGGGTTTTTCTCTTTCTTTATAATTCTATGTAAATATCACATCTAAAACCAAAAAGCTCAATGCAGAGCTTTCAAAGTTAAGCGATTACTGCATTTGCATTTAGTAGCAAGAGAAAACATCGCCAGTAAATTGCTTGTTTTTATAAGGCAGTTGAGATAGCTTTGGAAGACCGTGGAATGTACTGTCTTCACATTACGTGAAAGACATAAGTGGCAAATATTTGCCAATGTTGGAGAAGCAAACCACCGATGTGAGGAGTGCCTACAGAAATGAGTCTACCTGCGGAATATCACTCTGTCCAGCGGAGTGCTGTTTCTCTTTGTTTAGCTTACACTCTGTTATGAGCCTGGGGATGAAAGTAGCAAATAGAACTTAACAGCTCATTTTGCTCTTAGCATTGGCTCAATATTTACTCACACAAAGATTGCCTACTTTGAAGCCCCAGAAAATGACACTCATGTTGGTCACGTGTGTCTGGTAAATGGTAGTGTGATTTGGTAGCCTGCAGTACATGCAGTTTCCTGAGGGCCGTCTAGGGCCCGCCATCTAGAGCCCCCCAGTGGGGCCTTGGAGGGCAAACTGTGTGTGGAGCTCAGCTCTGGCCCTCAAGGCTTTCAAACAGTAGGACAGAAGGCGTGACTACGCTTCTGTCAAGGAGTGGGGCCAGGCCACGGCCGTGTTCCACTTCCCCCGAGGGGTGAGCACCCAGTCTGGGCTGTATAAGAGTGTGCTGATAGATGGAGGTCAGCAGGAGAGGGGGTTTGGGGGTTGGGAGGGCATGAACAGAAGTTTGGAGCCGTACACCTCGGGAGCACTAATATGAGTAGATGCCCCCTTGGTGTCCATGGCGGGAGGGCAGCCCTGAAGGGGCCTGGGCCGTTGGTGACAGGAGGAAGCAGGTGTGGCCTTGGAGTAGGCTCTCAGTGTGATGGCTGGCCGTGTCCTTACTCATGAAGTGGCTGAACCTCCCTGTCTCGTCAGCTGTAGAGGGGGCAGGAGACCTGCCCTGTAGGGTCCTTGTGAAGGTCGGCGGGAATTCTTGTGGAGTCACTCATTCATCCAGGCTCTGTTGGGCACCTGCTGTGGTTGTGGGCAGTGGGGAGGGATCGGCAGCCAGGCTTGCAAGGGCCCTGCCCTCAAGGAGCTGACATTCTCATGTGAGGAGACAGACGGAACTCGCTCAGTAACCCCACAACCATCAGGGAGCATCTGGGGGGAGTCAAGGCACGTGGAGGGTAGAGACTGGAGCTTCTCTGCAGTTGGCTGCTTCTGGGGCGAGATCTGCATGGAGGCAGGCATTTGAAGAGGGGGCACGAGCATTCTAGGCACAGGCCCAGAGGTGCAAAGGTCCTGCGGGCAGTAGAGCTTCATGTGCTTGAGGGGTTGCTGAGGCTTTGGCCTGGTGGCTGAGTGGGGTGCGGGGAGAGGCCTGCGAGGCAGGCAGGGACCTGGTCCCCAGGGCTGAGAAG